ATTTATTCTTAACTCACCCCTCGTCTACCAATAATTATCACCAATCTTAAAATTAAACTATCTTATTACTATTAATTAATAAACGGAAATGAAAAAGGGAGTAATGATGTTTACAGAATTGCTCAATATTTTCTTCACGAATCCTATAAAATTATAATTCATTGACAATATAATAATAATCGATCAATTATTAATAAATGGAAATAAAAGAGTATATGATGTATACAAGGTGGCTCAATATTTTCTTTACGAATCTTAGAAAATTATAATTCATTGACAATATAATAATTATCGATCAATTATTGATACTCTATCAATCGATAAACGGAAATTGAAAATGTACTTAAAAATTGTTCACCGATAATCATCTTTCATTCGTTCGTTCGTTTCAACAATGAGAATGAGAATCTTCTTCCTTCGTAACTATATTTTACGATGGAAGGAATTCAATAGTTTTTCTGTCTTTCTTTGGTTTATCGTTTGCCAAGGTGCAAGAGAAAGTAAACACCTCCTTTACTGCGGGATTTAAACGACACGACGACGTTCTTCGATCGATCCGATAGTAGGAGGATGTTCCTAGATGAGAAGGAGAACGTAAATTACTTTCCTTGTTTTCCTTGAAATCTTCTCTCTTCCTATCTCTCACTCTCTCTTACTATCGTATTTTGTCTTTTTATCCATCAATTTGTTTTTTTTATTTTTCCTCGTCAGGATTTTAGAAAAAGACTAGAAGAAGCATCATCATCGTCATCTCTTCAGTTAGTATTCTTCGAAAAAGTAACATGTTTCTACGGTCCGTCCGAATGATTTTTACAAACTAAATCAATTAATTTTTTCATCTTATTTCGTTATTACGCTAAAATACTTTTAATTCATTTCTTTTTTATTTTTTTGTATACATCAATTAACGCTAATTATGTATATGTATATTATATGAGTGTGAATTGGTGTATGATAGTTTCAAAATCAACGTATATTAATTGTTTGTATTATTTTGTGATCTTAATATAAGATGATTATCACATCGGAAGAAAGTAAGTTATCATTAAAAGAATTTTTCTCATTTTTTTTGGGGGAGGGGTGATAATTGAACGTCTCAAATTTTACATAGAATTTTGACAATCCTTTTGTTATCATATCTTTCTTGGTTCTATCTCCAAATTTTCTGTCTAATTTATTTGACACAACACACATAATCATAAGTAAAATGATGATATTATATTTTATTTAGATAATCTCGGGTTTCATATATTTTCTAGATTTTATTTTCTAATTTTTCCGAATAATATTAAATTAATTATAATTTTACATTGAGTTCTTAGATATTACTTATTTCTCTATTCCAAGGAATATTATCGTAAATACTGTTATTATAGTCATTATTTTAACCAATGCACGAAATTCCGAATAATTCATTCACATTGTTTCACGGTATTACTTTTTACCAATTTCAATTAATAAATATAATCGTGCATTTGAATTTTGTTGTTATCATCAATTATTCTTCAACCCTTCATTTTGTTGTCTTTTTTTGTTCCAATAATTCCCACATTAATTTATTTCTACTCAACATTAACAATGAAGTATTAAATTTTTTCTTTTTTAATTATAGAACAACGCGTTTACTGTATTTTATAAATTGATAAAAAAAATATATTTTCATTAACGCATGTGTGCATCTTGATTTAATGTCGTAACGTTAACGTGATATAACGATATAATGAATTATCCTTTATTTATTTCTTTAGCTACTAATCAATCACCCCACACGTCAGAGATTAAACCAATCGATTGGCTTCAACTAACACAAAGATAAAACTATTTATATTTGCGAAAGAGATGTAAACGCATTTATGCATCGATCGATTCGCATAAACGGAATTTTATTTCATTCCCATAAACGTAATATCAACGTTGAACGTTTACAAACGACAGTTATCGAGCTTGAATTAATTTCAATGCGAGAACGAAGAGAAGGAGGAGGACGAGGAGGAGGAGGAGGAGGGGTTGTTTTATTTTTTTTCTTTTTTTTCATAATGAAAAATCAATCACAAATAATTATTGACGTGTTTTTTTTTTTTTTTCGATAAAAGCATCGATGCAGTGCCAGAGGACGATGCACTTTCTCGCATAATAACGCGAGATGTGCAGCAAATAGAGTCGGCGTCGTTTCTATTTAATAGAAACTCGACACGAGTCGTGTACAAAAATAGCAAAACTGCAGCTATTGCAAAACGACGAGAACCACCCCACCCCTCATCCCCCCTTATTTCGTTGCATGCCAGTAGCAATCGTCGTTTGCTTCAAGTAGGAACAGTTTAAAAAGTATATTTTAAAATAATGACGAAGTATATTTTTAAATAATGACGAATTACATTTTATTTCTTTTTTTCCTTTACTCAACATTAACAATAGTCAACAACGCGAAAGAATATTGTGTTATACGCGTACGGTATAAATAAATCAATGAATAATAATAATAATAATTATCACGTGGGGCTAATTATACGAAAATTCTATTATCTGTCAATAAACAAACGTTGATATAGATATGTATTCGTAAAAAAAATGTGAATATAATAATTTATTCATTAATAAATTTTATCTTTTGTTATTCGCGTAACGCAATTTTATTAGGGTAGAATAGTATTATTTATTATATTGAATATAAGGTTTAAACAAATGTGATAGAATAGTGAAAAGAATAAGATGGCAGAAAGGGGTGTGTGGATGTGAGAGGAAACGGGGGAAAGAAATAAATGAGCTTCGAGATCTTGTGGTTTAATAAAATAAATCAATCAATCGCCTTTTCTCTTCGATGATTGACTCCAATTTGATTTTGTTGAACTGAACTTATTTGTAGAACGTCCTGATAAACGTTGTCACGTGCTATTAATGTACGTAACATGATAGATTACGCAAAAGCACGACAGTGTCACGATCGGGTCTGACTTATAATAGATTCGAGTCAGTCTTATGATTTTGCGATGTTTCAACTAACGTAAGTCGTGTCAGTGAAAGTATATATGAAATAAAACAAGAATGAGAAAATAAAAAAACAACAACAACAACAATAACAACAACGACAACAACGAAGATATTCGTTAACGCAACTCACAACTACATATTAATCAATTTCTATATATATATTATATGCAAATAAATATTATGTGACGTATCTTATATTCTTTGAATATATATTTCCGTAATTATACGTCAAATTATTTTTCTTCTCTCTCGTTACGTATTAATTTTACAAGAGAAAACGAAAAACCAAAAAAAAAGAAAAAAAAAAGTAAACTAACAATCATCTCGATCGGTTTTGTGAAAATAAAAAAATAATGTCGTTAAAAAATGAGGAAGTGGATATTAAAAATACCTTGTTACATTCTCCTTCTAAAATTACATTTCAAATAGGTAAGAAATCGTTGTATGGATTGGGGGGGTGGGAGCGTGATTTAGGGGTTGGTTTATGAAATAGAACAAATTTCCACGGTTCTGGATATAAACAAAAATGATTCGTCGAATAATAATAATATTTTATTATTGAGTGATGTTGTTTATCATATTTTCATTTTATTCGTAGAAATTCAGCAGATCGATGAAATGATAGTGCAGAATGCTCTCGACGAGACAGGTATTATAAATTATATAATATAATTTTTTGTTTTCGATCATATTCCTTAATATTATAATTTTTATACGTGTTTTGTATATAATTATTTCTTTTCTTTTCTTTTCTTTTTGTCTTTCTAATGATAATGATATCTTATCAGAGATAAACTGTGGGTGCACACGAACAAAGTTTGTTGAATACATGTTGTATTTCAAAATTTAATCGATAATCATAATCATTGTAATAAATTAAAAATGATTATATATATGTATATATATTTTATTTCTGCATTGATTTGAATCAATTTATCGAATGGCGTTGTTTAATAAAACATTTTGTATAAAATAATACGGATAAACGAAATATGAATGATAACCGGGTAATGGAAAATTGCAATTGTGTTTCGTTACAATTACCATTTATTTCTTTTTCTTTTTAATAATAATCGTGTCACTTGAGACAAAAAACAAACACACACACACACACACACACGATAATAAATAACAACCGTACAAACGATAGATCTAATCAAACAAGTGTTATCTAATCGAAATTTTTCATTTAATTATTGTTAACAAGTTCATTAAAATAGTACATAAAATAATCACATGGTAACGTTGATCATTATTTCCTATGATAAATGAAAAAGTTTCTTTAGAGAAAATCATTTCGATAAAATTTTTCTAAAATAAACGCAGACAAAAGAAGAACAAAAAATTAAATAAAACAGCTGTGATCAATGAAATTATATTCTGAGATATATTATATTTTATCATTTAAGGATTTGGAAAATTCAATTTCAAGGTCTTAGCGGTAACAGCTCTTATCTGTATGAATTCTGCATTTGGTATGCTCAGCAATGGATTTATTTTACCAGCAGCAGCATGCGATTTTAAAATGACGACTGAAGACAAAGGTCACTTGACCGTATCTACCATGCTAGGTAAAACATAAAACGTATGCAATTAAATTGTTTACATAATAATTGCATTATAATGTGTTTGTTTTGTTTTGTGATAAAGGTATGTTATCTGGTTCATATTTTTGGGGCTGTTTCGCTGATATGAAAGGAAGAAGAACATCTCTATTGGGATCCCTATTTCTGCACAGTGGTTCAGAATTTTTAGCATCTCTGGTACCATTTTATTGGGGCTTCGTGTTATTTAAATTTACCAGCGGTTTGGCGTTAGTATGATCAAAAAAAAAAAAGAACTCACACAAAGAAAATAAGAAAAACTTAATCGTCGACGAAATTCATCGATGCATATACGGCATATATTGTGACCTTTTTTTTCTTTTGCCACGTACATACACAATCCAACATTAATGAATTTTCAGTATATGTGGACAATTAACGGTGCTCTATACATATCTCGCTGAATTTCAACCGATTGTTAAACGAAATATGTTTCTTTCCTGGATGGAAACGTCATGGGTAATGGGAATGGTAATTGTAGCGTGTAAGTATCGATCATATAATCTTTTCTTATATTTTTTATAATGGTTTTATTTTTTTTCTTCCTTTTTTTTGTTCAGGTGTAGCATGGGTCACGATACCATCTAATATTGGTATTAAAATTGACGTGTTTACATTTAATTCGTGGAACTTGTTCATCATGATTTGTTCTTTGCCATCATTTTTCATCGGCATATGGTTAATATTTTTACCGGAAACACCGAAATATCTTGCCGAAATCGGACAAACTGTTAACATGTTAAATGTTTTGGCCAAAATGTATTCGGAAAATACTGGTAAATCATCGGATGAATATTTGGTCAGTTGAATTTTCGTATAAATTTAAATACAACATTTAATATTAATCCTTTTCAATCGAGTATAATTTAAAAACAAGGACAAGTATCGTTGTTGGTTGTTGTTGATTTTTTTTTATAATCATCAATATTAATTGTTAAAATTTAATATCACGACGTGTGTTTCTCGATATGTCTCGTCAAGTTTTATTCGTTCAGAAACAAACTTTGCAATACTTTTTTGAAACTTATTTTAACATAAACACGTGAACTTTTCGTTCTATTACAATCCACCACGTGTGTTGGATTCAAAACTTTTTAAATTTTTTCTAGATAATAATATATAAGAACGATATACATTTTAAAAATTATAAATATTACTTTTATTTGTTTCATTTAAGTATGAAAAAAATGTTGAATCAAGCAGTGGTGGTGATGACCGAATGCAAAGGATTAATAAATGTTTTCTTTTTTTTTTTTTATTGTGTAATTATTGTTGTGTGTCATCGTTAAATTCTAATTTAAAAAAAAAAAAAGAAAAAACAAAACATTCTTATTATTTAAATAGACGAATTTAAAGAACAGTAACAACCAGGTGTTATCAGAATTAGTATTACGTTTAGGGGAAAGGATAAACGAGAAGGAAGATAAAATTCCATCTAAAACATTGCGGACAATACTAAAGAATACATTTATGCAAACATTGATGCTAGTAAGAAAGCCATACTTGCATAGAACGTTTATAGTGTGTTCTGTAACATATTTAATAATGAGTTCGTATTACATGTTACTTTTGTGGTTGCCCGATCTTTTTCAAAGATACGCAGAATTTCAGAAAAATTATCCTAATCAATCAGCCACGGTGTGCACCGTTGTTGCATTTGAAAAAAATAATCAAACGGTGAGTTTAAAAAAAGAAGATAAGGAAAACCAACAAAAAAATTCAATATGTTTCCTATTATTTGTCTTTTTTTTTATTTCTCTCTCTCTCTATATTTTTGTTTGATTTTTTTAGGCAATATATATGGATCCGAATGGTTGTGATGTACCAATACAAAACAGTGTATTCTTATATGCATTTATTTTAGCAATAGCTGCTGTTCCTGTTGGTCTTACATTACCATTATTAATAAATCGTTTAGGATATAAATTCTTTTTAAGTAAGATATTATATTTTTCTTCTTATATAATCCAAACAAACAACAAAAAATATGAATTCTTTACTTTGTTAACATTAGAATATAATATAGTAACACTAAACGTATCATATCATATGACCGGTTGAAAAACTTTTTGTAACAATTTTTATAAATTACAATTCTATTTGGGGTGAGTCAAAAGTTCAGAATTGCATAAATAAGGGAATATATTTGTTATTATTTATTATGACTTTTTGAAAATGAGTAATGTGATACATGAAACACACAACACAACAGTGTACGTTTAGTATTAATTAATTATAATTTATTACATTAATGTGTATAGTTATCTTATTTGTTTTTATTGTTTTAGTTACCAGTACAATAATAGCAAGTCTTTCATCGTTCTGCATTTTCCTAGTTAAAACATCTATAGAAAATTTGATTATATCCTGTATATTCGAATCTTTTACATCGATTTGCGTTAGCGTTGTATCCTGTATGTTGATCGACTTCTATCCAACTCACTTAAGGTATTACAGTTGAGAAATATTATTTCACAAATATTACAACAAAAATAATCATAAAACACAGGATTCACATTTTTCATAATTTACTTTTTCTTAATTATTTACAAGAGAATAAATCTCTGACGCAATATTACGTTCGTGTATATCGTATAACATGTTTGATGCATGAAATTTTTGTTTTCACAATTTCATATATATATATTATAGTGTCTACCAATCATTGATTTATATCACGAGATCTTTATCAACAGAGATATAAATATTTTCTATATATATAAAATACAATTACGGGTCATAAATTTTTGTATTTTCTTTCTCGTACGTTTATTTATAGAATTATTATAGAGTATTATTATCTTATTGTAAATCCCTAATCGATCATACTTGTCGAAAGAAAAATCAAATTCGATTGTTAAATAAAATTTCACAATTAACGAACACGTATATGCACTTCCATTGTAAACTTACGAATGTTTTTGTTAATCGATCGATAAGTATCGATCACACGGATCGTTCGATACGATAGATAATAAATGAAAAAAGAGATAGATAGATAGATAGATAGATAGAATACAAAATTGCGAGAGTTGATAATAATAATCGTGAAAATTGTTGTCTTATTTTATTTTTATTTTATTTTTTTTTTTTCAGATCAATCGCAGCCGGTCTTGCTTCATTTTTTAGTCGATTAGGTGCAATGATCGGAACCTTGATGACTGGTTTGTTGATAGATAAACATTGTACGATTCTTATCGTATTAGTAGGAATTCAACTTCTCAGTGAGTATATGAATATTATTTAATTATATAATATATAATATAATATATATTATAAATTATACAATATATA